GTAGGAAAAGGACCTATGGGGAACAGGAAGAAAAAAAATACCCATAGAAGGGAAGAACCAGACAGGCATAATTCAGTGACATTTACTGTAGCCTTTCTAAAACCTACTCTTTGCCCAATTCCAGCACTATGAAAAGCACAAAATGGGGATTTTCTCTGAAAAAAAAAAAAAAGGAAATGGCAGTAACAAGCCAAAATTCAGGAGATCAGTTTAATTGTTTCCTCAATGCACTCAGCAGGAGACGTGTTCTCTCCTTACTGCATTCACATTATTAAACAAATACTGATGAGATTTTTCATTACACAGCACCACAGGAGAAGACCCGATACACGGTAAGTTAACATTTGCTATGAACCAGTTTGCCTCACCTCCTATAAACAAAACACTACCCAACATGTCAGCGCAAATAGTGTGAAACAAGAGAGACAGCAAATCAAAGTGCTTTTGCCCTCAATAGCACAACACCGAATGACGGAGTAAAGAGGAACCCCTGCTATATACCACTGAAGACGTGGTCCAGTTCGTGGTCGCCACTGCTTAACCTATCAATGCTGGTTATTTCAGCTGAATTTCTAGTAAACATACCCAAACATACCCACTATCAATAAAATTTCAGTTTCTATAAAGTATTACAATGTAACTTCAACAAAACAGACGAGATCTATCAGTAAGGCAGGATTCACGTGGAGCTTGCAGTCAAACTGATGCTGCTGTACTTGTTTTAATCGGGGCGGGTAAGGGTGCTCTAAAACTCTCAGTTGACAAAGTAAGTTTAACTAGGTCAAATTCAGCTTGCTAGAAAGATCAGACACACACATCACAAAAGTTCGAAGTGTGTCATTTCATGAAATGGAGGATTTAATTTCTTTTAAGTTATCTCATCCCTGCAAAGATACCTCATTCAGAGCTGGAAGACAGACCAAATGCTCGTACTTTATATCAAACAATATCTTCTATTATTCTGCAAGAAAAAGAAAGAAAAAGATGTAATTAGAGGGGAAAGAAAACTATATTGGTTTGGGCAGTTCTATGGTTAACATCAGATTATTAAAAGAAGAAAATAATAATGTATAAGATTATTTTCCATGTGCCACAACTTCTAAGCAATTAAAATTTTCTAGGCAATTTTCATTTTATTTCTGCATTACAATATGCTGACATTTACAATACACATCTTTCCTGAAAAATTGTAACGAATTTTAATGCTGTGTTTAAGGTTTAAGCTTACAGCCAACAGCAATAGCAAAATGCTGGTCCCTAGATACCCTGGAGAGCACCTCTTAAAAAAAAAAAACCAAACCAAACCAAAAAACCAACCAACCCACCCACTCCCCCGAATACCTTGTTATTTTTAGGCTGTTTAATGATGGATTTGTTGAAGGGGGGGGGGGGGGGG